GTGCCTGTGTATTCGCCGGGACGGAGGAGAAAGAAGAAGGCCACAATGATCATGTCAGAAGTGGCCTGAACTTTGCAAGATTGATTTCGACTTTGGTTGGCGATATACTTAATGATACCGACTGGGATGGGTTTCACCCGATGAGGCGTTGGGTCCTCGCGGGTGTAGGCTTTGAACATCCGAGTCAGGCAGAAGTCAATGGAACCCGTGCTGTCTTTCCGAGCATCCCTGGCCCCCATGCTGGCCATCGTCTGGCCCACCGAGCGTATGGCGTTCGAAACTGTGCCAGATCGGACGCATTCACCGGGGTACTTTCCTGGTCGAAGGCGGTAGCGTGTTGCAAAGACTTGGAGAAATTGAACAGGATCAGGAACACCCGGCAAATGACGAAAATCCGTACCGCGCGGGGTCGACTGTGGGAATTTTGATGTCTTTCAATTGGCGATCCCTGCCATAAATATATTTCAGTTTTTAAACAATATCATTTTCACAGAACAACTTTATTTTCGATCTTTCTGATCCTAATTCTCTAAATAATAACGGGTCATTTGATGGTCGCAGGGTCATTAAGAAACTTCGAATTCCAAATCATATCAATAGACGGAATCCTGAAGTTGGGAGTTATAACTCATTGCGAGGGAATCCTTGAGTAAAAACTCATAACTCACACGTTTGAGTTATAACTCACACGTTTGAGTTATAACTCAAACGTGTGAGTTATAACTCAAACGTGTGAGTTTTTACTCAAACGTGTGAGTTTTTACTCAAACCTGTGAGATTTTACTCAAACGTGTGAGATTTTACTCACCGAGCCGAGCTTCCCCCTTTTCCAAAACCGTTGCTGGAAATTCGAGCTGGCGGACCAACGACTACTTTCACCAAAAGATACAGTCCAGTACTTTTCCAGATCCAAACCCTATAAAAGAACTTGTCACGCAACATCATTGGGACAAAAACGAGTTCTACGGCGAGGCAGGAGGTGAAAGGAGAGAGACTTTCAGCCGCTTCCTCACCGACAAGGTCAGAAGAAAGGGTTTTGGTTGGAAAGAATACGTTGATTTGCTGGATGAACGGGGAGTTGACATGTCAGCAAACACGGAGACGCAGCTGGCAACGGAACTTCAAGCCAAGGGAGGGCCAAACGATGCCGTGGTGAACGACGCTCGTGCTGTTGCGTTTGTTGCTGTGCTTGATTCTGCTAATGAAAAAAAACTACACTCAACATGTTATTTCTACTAAAAATTCTGACATCGCCATGGACGACCTTGCGCAATGCTCACAACAAGGCAAGAGACAAATCGTTACAGGAAGATTTGATTTTGGCTGATGACCTGGCCAAGCACCCAACAACCACCCATAACGCACGTGGCGAGCTCAAGTTTTATTTGACCAGGGCAAAACAGAAAAAAATCATGTTGGCCTCACAGCATCGGAGTTTCAAGAAACTAGGGTTGAATACCACCCATTCAAAAAACGAAAATTCAGAGAGCGGATTCAACAAGAAATTAGATTTCAAAAGTACCGCAACTGTCTGGAGGATAAAAGAATGAAGAAGCTGGCTAAATTGAAGAAGGAAGAAAAGAAAGAGAAAAAGAAAGAAAACTTGTTGCTCTATGAACAACGTATGAAAGTAGCAATGGCCGAAAAGGAGGAGGAAACAAAGAAGCAGGTGGAAGAATCGCCGATGTCTGAGGACTAGCAAGTAGTAATAAAATTGTATTAGATATGTGGTAAATTATCCTATTTCAAAGAGAGGGTGACCGTTATTCATTTTGAATTGGACTGTTCCAACAACTGCAAGGACACATTTTTGATGTTTGTCTCTCGAATATTTGAACCTGTCGTCCAAAATAATAAAAAGCACTTCAATCGACGATTAAAAGTTTCATGGCGAAGCCGAGCACGTTACTTATTCGTGGTTTTCTTTGGAGGCTGTGTTGCATCTCTCTTGAAGCTGCCCTTCCCCCATTGGAGAACATCATCCCCCTGACATTTTCTGAGTACGTTTGAGTTATAACTCACACGTTTGAGTTATAACTCACACGTTTGAGTTATAACTCAGACGTACTCACACGTTTGAGTTATAACTCAACGCCGTGAGTTATAACTCAGGATTCCGTTGTGATCTGAGTTATAACTCAGAAAAAGTCACAATGACCAATCGGTCATCTGTGTCCATAAGTCCCTATTTGATAAATCATCACGTCATTAATAGTTAAAGGGAAATAACATAGATTTTTCGAAGCTAAAAATATAATTTTATATCTCCGGGCACGAGCACGTCAAACTTTGCGATCAGTGTCCCAAAAATACTCGGTCTGAACATTTGCAGGGTGTTCCAGGGACGCGGAGGAGGGGGTCGAGTCCAAGTTCTTCACAGAACTTGGTCCAAAGCTCCCAGTGCGCGTCAGCAGTATCTTGAGTTCCTCGAACGACACCCTTTTGTACTGTTTGCTGGCTAATATTGAGATCACGGCGGAAAGAATCGGCGGCCGAACGTGGTGCAGCTCCCAGCAATTCATCTGTGGATATGTAGAGTTAAAATAAGCGAGGAACGCAGCGTCAGAGAGGTGCCACAGGCGTGACGCGTCGTCACTCATTTTATTCAGGAGTCCTGGTAGATAGTCGTGGAATGGCACATAGCGGAACACCCATTGATGGTGGGACTGGAGGCGAAGCAGGGCGGCAGCCGGTCCTGTCGTAGTGGTGGATCCCTTGCGCTGCCAAAATTGGGCAGCTGTGTTGTCGTGGAAGCTGTGGATGGTGTGCTCCCGAGCATCGGCAGCAGTAGTGATGACATCGTGTTGGCACACCATGGCAGACAGTTCCAAGTTGCCAATGCTCAACGAACCCCATGGCTTGTCGAAGGTTATCAATCTGGATTGGACATGCTTGGGGTAGCGATGCCGCTAGAGTATGGGTCGCAGACCAGAGGGAGTATTGAGAAAAACAACACCGCCCAGCATCCCCTGCCCTGAAGCATCTGTAGTTCCAATAACACTCGGATCTTGAGGAATGAGTTCGGCTATCCTGGTGGGGCGGTCGCCAAGGGTTTTGGACAGCTGACGGAAATCGTCCAGGAATTGGTGAACCATGGCATTCAGGCAAAGACGATGGTCCGGGGTTTTGGTCCGAAAGGCTTCTTGAAGTGGGCTAAACAGGCCGCATGCACCTGGTATTTCAATCACCATGGATCGCAATTCACCCAGCAAACGATGCCAGTTCTTGGCACTGATGCGCTTCTTTGTGGGGCCAATGCCGGCCAGGATGGTTTGGAGCCGTTCAATTCGATGTGGCGGAAGGCTGATGGTTTTGTCAACAGAATCCAGGAGCCATCCGAGTACCACTTTCTTGGTAGACCAGCTGGCGTCGCCCTTCGTGAGCTTTTTGACGGAAGCCGGCTCTTGACGAAAGGGGAGGTCTCTGTTGGAGTCCCGAGGTCAAAAAACACTGTCGAGCACGTGAAGAAGTGTTCGCATGGCTTGACGACGGTCGTTCTCGGTACCCTGGACCAAAGAGATGAAGTCATCAACGTAGACGTCAGCGTATTGCATTGGCCGACAGAACCGAGGTTGATGGATGGGCTTGGAAGGTGGCGTGGCGATAGGGTCATCCACACGGTGGGTTGTCGGAGGTAGACTCGAAGCAGGCTTCTCAAGTGCTGGTGGATTCAGAGCAAGCTCTTCTAGGCGATGAGGTGGCTCTTGGGGGCGCTGTTTGAGGCGTCGGTTCATCAGGTCCGCTCCAGTTTCGGTGACGGCCGAGAAGTATGGTGGCGAATTGACCCAGCCCATAGGGAGGACCAGGGGAAAGGCAACCATGGCTTCTTCGTTGGGGTGTTGCGGGAGTAGGACGGCCAGATGTGGGACGGCATAAGGTGCCAATTGAATGCGGTAGAAACCATCAGCAATGTCAATTTTGGAGATGTAAACAGGAACGTGTAGGGGGTTGGCTTGGAGGATTCGTTGCAGGATGCGGTGAAGGGCACGTCCGAATTGCATGGAATCTGATGGCGCGATTGGGACGGATTCTTGATTGATGCCAAAGAAAGAAAGGTCAACTGTCAGTCGGGGCCGTCTGTCCCGTTGTGGAACTACGCCAAGAGGACTGAGTCGCAAGTTCTGTAGGTGCCGCACGAGTCGATAGGGGAGGATGGTCCAGAATTTCTTGTTGAGAAAATCAGTGAACTCTTCTTGGACAAAGGACACTTCATCTTTTGCAGACTTGTGAGGACCGCGGGCGACGGCGTCATCTCGTCGTTGTGCGTTCCAAGGTAGTGTAGACATCGGTATGGGTGCGCCATGATTTCGAAGGTGATCGAGGAGGTGTGCAGCTGGATGTGCCAGATGCCTAACATTGGGCGCAATATCTGGAGCTGATCCTCTCTGTGCCGTAGCAAACGTCTCCCAGGAGTTACTTCGCTGAAATTCATGAACGGCCATACGAATCTTCTTACCTAGTTCATCATCATGGATGCGGAACTGTTGTGCAGGTGGACTTGTGCTGAGGCGGAAAGGCGGAATTGTGGAAGTGGTTGGGAGACGAGGTACAGTGGCAGGTAAACTGGTGATGTTATTAGTTGCCGCTGCCCCCATCACGTTGCTAGATGATGGAGCAGGTGGCTTAGATGGGAACCGTAGCTAGCTGGGGGTACCATCCGCCAAAGCTTCATTCTTCAGCGTAAGCTTTCTTGCACCACTCGACAAGCTTTGCTGTGTCTTGTGCGGAGTGGGCCACATGGTCCGCCGCTCGAGGACACTTTTCCCAGCATTTTCCCTTGACGTGATAACCGACACACATTTGCACCTTGGTGCCATTGTGGGTGATCTCAGGCGGCGGAGATCCAGCTTTCTGCTCGGCCTTTGAGACAGCGGTGGCAAGGGCCAATTTCCGGAACTGGGTGAGCTCTGGAACATGTGTAGAGTTCTTCACTTGGAGGCTGTTCTTTCCCTTGGATTTTGGGTCATCCTCGCCTGGCTTAATTCCTCCACCCTGTGGTGGAAAGAAACCATTGAAGAATGGAGGATACCCCAAGGAATGAGGTGTGAGACTTGAGGCACCGGAGCTGTCAGAAGCCATTGGGACCATGTCGGGGGGCATCATGTAAGGCAGGTATCCCCTGTTCCATGGAGCTGTAGGTAATTGGGCCGCTGGTTCGCTCCGGTAGTTGGCAGGAAGCGCAGCAATCCAGCTGTCGGAGCGCTGTCGGATCTGTACCAGGATGTCAACAAAGTTGGGCAGATCCGGCTGGTAGGACATGGAGCTCTCCACTGACTACCAGTAGTTAACCATGCGGACTTGTACTGCCCTCAAGAAAAGAGCCGGCTTTGGCTCTGGTCGTGGCAATTTGTCGAGTAGGGCAGTGAAGTTGGCTTCATCTCACACGTATTGCTGTAGGAACATTCCGTACGCTCGTAGGAAAGGATGGCTGAATGGCAGCAGGACTTGCCACAAGGTTAGTAGGCCCATGAGATGACTTTGTGCCTTGGAGAAGGTGTCCGGAATGTGGACAGTAGGCTTTCTCAAGGCGATGGCGTCTTGTAGAGAGGCCCCTGATCCCCCGTGGACTTCCGCGTAAGCTGCTGCCCTTTCTCGGGCCGCCTTGGTCACTCCAACATCGGAGCCTCCATAGGACGGCAGGACAATAGAGAAAGGGTGAATTCCTTCTTCCAGGTTGTCAGTGTTGTTGCCACCGAGTTTCACCGCCTTCACTTTCTTCACCAAGTCCGGAGTGACAATGGGTACAATTCCGAATCCCCCTGTTGCTTCGCTGCTCCCTTGGGACCTGAGGGCGGTTTCCAAAACGTCGAGGTTGGCTTTCTTGGGCTGAGAAGCCCATTCGGACTAGACAGGTGGGCACTGGCTAGTGTCTTGCACGTGGAGGATGCTGAGGAGCTTGTGGAGCATGGGACCAAAGAATTCGTCCACACTCCTGGGGGCCTTGGCCTTGGCTTCTCGTGCTGTCGCTTCGGTCTGGGCGTCCTTTTGGGTTCGGACCAGTTCGTTGACTGATTGCGCCAGGCTCTGCTGAATTCCTAGCATGGACGGAAGTGAAGCTTCCTTCAGGCCTGGAAGATGCTGTTCCAACAGCTCTCGGCGTTGCACCTTGAGCGCTGCATCATCGAAAGGTCTATCAGGCAATGTTGTTGCAAGAGTTGGTGGAGCGCCCGCTCCTGCTCTAACCAGTGACAGTAGTAGCCAATCGGTGAGCTCAGGGCACTCAATTTTGTCTCCAGTGTTTTTGATGGCTGCTGCCAAGTCGATGAAACCCTTCCGAACTGGAACGTGGCGTCCCAGAACCAGATGCACATAGTGGTGTGGCAAAGGGATGTAGTGACGGGTCTTTGCTTGCTTGATGTTGGCATCCGTGTCCTGGAAAGGTCCAATGGAGGAGTCGTCCGGATTGAGCTGGAGAATGTCCAGAGCTCGCTCCAGATCCTTTGGGACGTTTTCCTCTGTTCCAGTTCCTGGCGACATAAAGGCGTCCTGTGGAAATTCTATAGTGGTGATGGTGTTGGCAGCCACATCGCCGGTGAACGCGTAGGCCTTTCCATCGCAGCGGCTTGGGACCCCAGGCAGTGACTTGTAGAAGGCTGGTGCATGGACCAATAGGTAGAACAAATTCCCATTCTCATTGATGAGCGACAGGTAGACCATGGGATAAGCGGAGGTAGACAGTCCGGCGCTGTTGTACAACGATTGAGCAGGTGTAGGAGTGTCGTAAACTCTGTAGGCTCGCATGAGCGCTTGGTAGTCTTGTTGATGGGGGTCCAAAGTGGTGTTGCCGAAAAATTCATGGTAAGCGGTCAGCTGTGGTGTTGGTGCTGCTGGTGCAGCTGTGGGTGCTGTTGGCGCTGCCACAGTCGGCGCCGTTGGTGCTGTTGCCGCGGCCATGATTACTTGAAACTTTTTCTATTCTATGCCTAGTCAACGTTGATGTGTCTTACAACTTCGATCCTGATGCGTTAGGAAGGAGAAAAGACAAGAATATGCGACTCGCTGTTGTTGAGGACTCGCTGCGGGATCTCTGCTGCGCGCACCGCGCTCGTTCAATAGTCACTTTGTTCTTCGCTCTCACCCACTACCGGTACGATTGCAACATTTCAACTCAAATCTCCTCAGTTCAGTAAGTGATGCCGAAGTCCTCAAGAAGTGCGAGAAGAGACCAGATAGGGCCAGCAAGACCATATGCTACGGCTCGAATTAAAGAGGGATCAACAACAAAGAAGTCTTCAGTTCATGGCAGCAACCTCATAGCTCCGAACACTGGTATCGGTCAGCACTTTCTGAAGAACCCTGCAGTTGTAACATCAATCATTCAAAAGGCTGGAGTCATGCCTACAGATGTTGTACTTGAGATCGGTCCTGGTACAGGAAATATGACCGTCCCCTTGTTGCAAAAGTCCAAATCTGTGATCGCGTTGGAATTCGACCCTCGGATGGTAAGAGAAGTATTGAAACGAGTACAAAAAACACCCGAAGAGCGAAAGCTCCAAATTATTCAAGGTGATGCAATACAAACAAAGTGGCCCTTTTTTGACCTCTGTGTGGCGAATATTCCGTACCAGATTTCGAGCGCAATAGTATTCAAACTGCTTGCCCATAGGCCTATGTTTCGCTGTGCAGTTCTCATGGTTCAAGAAGAGTTTGCTCTCCGCCTGTCGGCAAGACCGGGAGAAGCATTGTATTGCCGTCTTTCTGTAAACACGCAACTGCTTGCGAAAGTCGACCAGTTGCTCAAAGTCGGGAAGGTATGTGATCATCGATTATTCGCTTCTTTGTTGCATCTGAAACGATACGTTCACACTGTTTTGTAGAATAACTTCCGCCCACCTCCAAAAGTCGAATCTCGTGTTGTTCGAATAGAACTCAAGAACCCACCACCTCCAGTGAATTTTGTGGAATGGGACGGAATGGTAAGTGCGTCCGCTTGCTTTCGCAACGCAAGTCAAAGTGATGCTAATGTTTCACTTTTTGCGATACTTGTAGATAAGGCTCCTATTCAATCGCAAGAACAAAACCCTCCGATCTGTACTCTTTACCAAAGCAACACTACGATTGCTCGAAGAGAATAGACGGACATTAAGGAGTTTGGAGGGACAAACAGATACAGAGGAGAAGGTTCAAGACATTCTCGAGCGAATCCTGGGCCAACCGAGCTACAAAGATAAACGTGCCAAGAATCTTGATCTTGATGATTTTCTTCATCTCTTGGCCGAGTTTCATCGCGAGGGCATCCACTTTACATCATAGCATTTTTATTTTAGTGCACTCAAAGCTAAAAGTAGACATCTATTGTACAGCAGATACCGATCTTCTTCCAGAGGCAAAGCAAAGGGAAATATCATAGCATCGAGAACAAATTTTCTGGGTACTCCCACTGGAACCAGCAAATTATCAAATGAAGCAACAGTCACAGTCAAAAGGACAGTCTTTTGTATTTCCTGACCTCGGCTTGTTCAAAACATGAGCCTTGAATATCTTGCACCCATCCTGTGTTCGGCCCGTGAACCCTTCTGCATTGAACTTTCCACCCAAGCCGTCATCCGTCCAGTACTGAGATGACCGTGGAGTTAAATCCTTCGTGACATGCTTTCCATCTGTCGCCCTCGGCTTTTCTTTTGATTCTTTCTCAATCAGTTTTTCCTTTTTCTTGTTATGAAACAAAGACTCAATCTCGTCCAGTCCCCCATTCAAGTTTCCCTTCTCACAAGAGCGCTTTTTTACATTATTTAATTCTGTTGATCCTTTTGTTGATTTCACTTTGCTGCTCTGACTCTTTTGCTTTGCCATGATGGACGGGCACAAGATACCAGTTAAATTCTGCTTTGACGAGGGATCTTGTGGTATCTTTTCTTGTCATACCAACGTACTGTAAGAAGAAATTGACGGTTGGCCATGATTTGATATACTGGACCACCACAGTTGAGCTAACTAAGTACCAGTACGTGAACCAAAAATTTGTGGGTTTCCTTGCTGTCGATATGACGTCTCAACGACCTGACTGGCGATAAAAGATATAACATACAGAAATGAAGACAATATATCCAAAAAAATCGCAAATACCGCAGATCGGCGAATTTACACTGCCACTTTTCCAACTCACAAATTCGACACTCCACCTATTCGAGATTGCAGTCGCTTCAGTGTTCCTGCAAAGTCGAGTCGATTTGTGTACAGCCCTATTTTCCTTTCTTTTTTCCTTATTTAGGTTATTATCGGTTGTTTCGAGGTTTATATCTCGGACAATCAAACACAACGGAAAAACGGCGACTCCTCTAAGCTACATCTTGCAGGCGGCAATGGGGCAGTGTTCGACACTGCCTACTGAAGGCCGAACTGCAACATCTACAAATTGTGGTACAAATTCGCATTTCAAACGTGAAGAATCGCTACAGAAGCCTTCCCACTACCGAAAGTCCCCATTCGAAGAGCCTCCAACACATTTTTCCAACACTACGAACGACAACCTACAGACTCGGAATCCTGAAGGAGAACAAATGGAAGAAGATTACCCCCGTGATGGAATCCCACAGCCACCCGATATAGCAAAACGAACACGTTGTTACAAGTTGAATCTGAACGCCGAGATTCATCCGATTTCTCCTTCTTTCGTCGGGCCATTCGACGACGTACCTCCACCGCTCACATTCAGCACCAGTGATGATTCCTCTGTTGACGTCACCACCACACAGGTCGCCATAAGAACGGCAAAAATCTTCCGGGGAATTACAGTAGGAAAGGATGGAACCATTTTGTCACAGAATGCTCGGGCTACCCGCAGCAACCGCGGCTCCAAGAATAAAAAAGGAGAGAAGTCGCGACAAGCTTCCAAAATCGAAAAGGCGAAAGACCTAGTTGAAGAATCTATGTTGACTGGAAAGGTAAGATATTCTTGAAGCTTCAGAGCACGACTGTATGCACAATTTTCTCAACGGGAAATTTCTCTTGTAGGCACCAGATTCTGATGAGCCCGCAAATATGCTCTCCCTTGTTGTAATGGGCGAGTTTGATGATATGAAACATCTCGTACGTGATGGTGCCAAGAAACTTCGAGATGCGACGGACCTACCTGAGGATACGCTTTTGAATACAAACAGCAACCGCGAAGGTATGAGTTTGAGGAGCCCACGGAAGCGTATCTCGCCAAATCATGTCGGGGGACATAGAGGTTCAACTCTACAAACACCCAACAAAATTCGTCCCGTGGGTTTGCCACAGAGTGCGCCCCCTAAGGCCAAAGTTGGTATCAGAGATCGTCCAAAGTATGCTGATGACGATAATCGATTTCGAGGTTCTTCTGGCTACCACGATGCCTCTGGATCTTCTCGCGAGGTTGCGCCGAACCATGGCGAAGGAGATTGGAGCAACACATTGAGTTTCTCCCGAGGCTTCCACTCGATTTGGAACTGTGGTGGGGTTACAGGGGATGATAGCGGAACTACAAGTATTGTACAAGTTTCCAACCGGAGGGAGAGCAAAGCTCACTCGATGGGAGGCGCTGCAGCTGCCAGTCCCACGAACCGAGGTGTTTTTGAAGGAAGAGATTCCAACATGGGTCAGGTTCGGGAATCTGGCATTGTTTCTCGGGCAGACTAAAAAGGGCAAGATCATGAATAACAGCGTAGAATATGGATATCTAGTTACACCTTGCAAGTTTAGAAAGCTAATCTTTAGGGCGTATCGGGGAATGAATGAATCAATCGTTTTCAACTATCTCAACTCTGCCGGTTCAGTCGATCGGCTTCCCTTGACCATATTTTTCTCGCTTAGCCGCGCGAGCCTCTTCTGTGTTGTTTTCTCGCAATGCTTGTCCTACCTTTCTTCTCGCAACAACGTTGGGAACAACGTACCACCGACAAGTCTCTTTGTCGAGTTCGAGGAATCGCCCTCCATGATGGTCATGAATCATATCGACAATCGATTGCGCGACTTTTGTCTTCTCATTTTTGTCGCAATTTCTATAGTATGGCTGTTTTTCTGTGACAACATCTCTGTAGATCTTGTTCCCAGGGTGGTGATTCGATCTTCCACCCCTGCCAAACAGTATGTCTGAATCGCTATAATCGTCCACATACTCTTTGTCGACTGGGATTATCTTTCTCGGTTTTCGCTTTGTTTGCTTTGATGATTTCTTTGTTTCACTACTTTGATTTTGTAATGCAGGGCCGCCGCGCGAGCCCAAGGGCTGTGGCGGAAGAAGAGCTGCCGCTTCTACTAAAGGGGTCAAGCTTGTAACTTTCTGTTTACCCTTGGGTACAGCCTTTTCATAAAGTGCTTGCCAATCGAATTTATCCTGTCGCTTTTTTGGCGGCAAGACTGATGGCTGGCCGCGATTAGCGTCTTGCGATTTGGCGTTGAAGCAACTTGGGTATGATACATCAACATGACTCTTTCCATACTCCAAGTGCCAATCGCGGGATGGAAAGTCCTTCGCTTTCAACTGCGAAGCAGCCTTGTTGTAGTCTTTCACTCCGGTTGCATCACCTGGAGCTTCGGGCATCAAGGAATCCTGCGAGCTTAGAAATTTCAAGAAATCACCTGACTTAAAAACCGAGTGGTCGCTGCCCGACCCACTTTCGTTTTCGTAGAAGGGGGCGCTGACCTTTTCGCCATTCTCCAAAGTAGCATTCATTGTGAGCTTGGATATCGATTGCTTCGAGAGGAAGTTAAGGAAGTCCTCCCTACTAAGCTCCTTTGTTTGCACGTTCTCTGGTTGTTTCTCGGTACTCATTTCGGCGTTACGTTAGAAGATGGCTCTTTCGTCCAAACGTGTAATCAAATCGTGCCACAGGGCATACAGTAGTTTCCGTTCCCACGCACTAATGTCAGACGTGAGATTCATTTCAGGAGAATCAATGGAGCTTGTCACTCAAAGCTGTAGCGTGTACGAGTACAGCCTTGAATGCAGGAACGGCCGGGAACTGTGGTCCGATTAGTCATTTCACACGCAATAGCAACTTTACAAAGGGAATCTTGGAGGCGGAATCTTGAAAAATCAATGCAGCGACCAGCTCATCCGCGTCCACAAACAGTCAGTCAAAATAGCACGGCTCGGCTGTGCGGAGGGTGGGAGAGGACAAAGGAAAAAAGCATGCCCGTCCTCT